TCGTTGTCTTCCTTTATCCCTCCTTCCACAGATCTTTTCAGTGGTCAAAACAAATTCCATTTTCCTTCTTCTCATAACATGGCCGAAAAATAATGACTGTCTCCTTCTGATGTCTGTGATAAGTTGTCTTCGGGCTCCCGCCTCTTTCAAAACCTTTTGGTTGCTCTTTGTGGCTGTCCAAGGTATTTTAAGCATTCTTCTGTAAAACCACATCTCTGAGGCCTCAGGAAGTGATTTGGCCTGCCTACTGATCGTCCAGGACTCACATCTATATGTTAAAACTGGATGTATGCAGCAAACAAGAATTCTTTTTCTAACCTTCACTGACAAAGATATATTGCATAAAATGTTCTTTATTTTATAAAATGCAGTTTTTGCCTGTCCTATTCTGTTTCTTATATTAGTTATGCATCTTCCATCTGATGTTATCCATGTGCTCGAATTCTTAAATTTCTGCACTTGTCCTAAAATAGCACAATTGACTTTTATACACATTTAGGAATAATTCTTTTCTTTGATACCAACATTATTTCTGTCTTCCCATTTTTTAAAATGACGCCCATTCTTCCACAGAATCAACTGTGCTAAATGTGTCCAGAAATAACATTTCAGCCCCCCCCCCCCCCCCCCCCCCCCCCCCCCCCCCCCCCACCCCCGCCTGTATCCTATTTTGGAAAATTCAGAGAAATACGATTAAATTTATATATCAATGTTTTTTATTACTAGGAGGCTCCATTTGTGATGAAGATAAAGCAAAACAGAAATGGAATGCCCCCTGTTGGACCTAACTTGGATTTGGAAGGCTATTGTATTGATCTTATTGAAGCCTTGGCTCGCAGTGAACAGTTTGAGTACCAGGTCTATGTATCAAAGGACTATGGTGATAAGAATGAAACAGATGGAACATGGAATGGCATTATAGGCCAGCTTATAAATAAGGTAACTCGCTAATACATACATAACTACATACATAACTACATACATACCTACATACATACATACATATATACGTACATACATACTTACATACATACATGCATACATACATACATACATACGAATACACACACACACACACACACACACACATATATATATATATATATATATATATATATATATATATATATATATATATATATATATATATATAGTATATCCCGGCTTGGTCTCCAGTGACGTGTGCGATGTCAGATGATGCACCTGACACCTGCCGAATATCCAGGGTTCCTCAGTAAGGTCAATCTCACAGGTCACAACTCCCGCTCAACAGTAACAGAAGAATCAGTTTACGATCTAAGTAGACAATGTATTCAGACACCATGAAAGCGCATCACGAGATACGAATGTCACACGGCTACAGTCATTCCCACTGCTGCTACAGGTACATATTAGACGTTCTGAAAAGCTTCTCCTGTTACCCTATGTTCCGTGGTTGCTACAGGTAGTTAAAACCCGTTAGCGCAAATCCACCAGTTCGTAATTAGCGTAACTATCTCTCTGCCCTAGAGATCACCAGGCTGATGTTGTCAGGTCTTGGTCAGATATGACTGAGCTAGTATATGACAGTAGCCGGTACCTTCTGTTACGCAGAATGTTGGACGGCGTATAACAAACCTGACATACTTTAGTGTGCCCACGGCTTCGGACGGAGGAGCACATTGGGGAGGATACTATTATATTCTTAGGAAGACGAAATGCAACCTGAAAACTATGTGATGGCAGGGCAGACCAGACCCTTAGCCTTTCTCTGGCAGCTGGTGTAGAAGAGAAGCTCTAACAGGCGGACAGAGAGAGAGAGAGAGAGAGAGAGAGAGAGAGAGAGAGAGAGAGAGAGAGAGAGAGCACTGCACTTCTAATCCTGCAGCTTCTGCAGGCTGCTTTGTTCCAAAACTACTGGTGTTACTTTTCCTTTAGAGTAAACAAGGTAAGTCGAGAGAGGCATCATGATCCATGGGGAACATATGGTCTCTACAATACTGCCCAGGCTTTGTGCTATGGAGAAGATGTACTTCATCTCTGGCCGTAATCAGTCTCGTAAACAAATTGCAAGCCAGCAGTAAAGAAACACCGAGGTATTGGAAAGAGCAGGTATTACAACAGTCTTCTCAATGCTCAGTCTATGAAAGCTCAGGTGGTTGGGTCAAGCCTGGAGAATGGAGGATGGCAGAGTCCCTAAGGAACTAAAGTCGGGTAAAAGATGTCCAGACATGTGTGCGAGCGATTTATGGGGTTAAAATGTCTTTCCCACTCCTGATGATTTTAGTAGAAATTGATTTGATTTGATTTTGATTTGATTTGATTCAAGAACCGACATCCCAGCACTCGGGGCATTCCCATAAGCGCTCTGTTCCCATCTTTAGCAGCCAGCGAAGAGTTCCGATACTAATAGTGCCAGTAGCTGTCTGATTAAACGTCCGTCTTACCTTTCCTCTGAGCCTTGAGCTTCTTCCAGAACCTCTCGTCACCCCCAACTGCATCAATCTCACCAGACTGTGGTGATCAATCTGCTCCTCCGCATTGTACACGCTCTCCAACAAGGCATCTCGTCACAACACTCTCCACATGGTCCTTAAATGACAGGCTTCTGTCAAATGTAATTCCCAGATACTTCAGCTTGCTCTCTTTGTTGACGTATTTACCATCTATCGTAAGACTTGGAACATTAGTTTTAACGATTCTGTTGTCCAGAGAACACCACAAAACAGACGCCTTTTCCGGGTGGACTACAGCCTTCATGTCTGTACACCACTCAGTCACTTTGTCTACTGTCGCTTGTAGCTCCCGAGCTGTTTGTTCCCTCTCTTTCCCCTGCCTATATGCAAGTATATCATCGGCAAAAGTCAGTATCCTTCCAACTCCTGGTACTTCTAGGCTTGCAATCTTGCTCGTATACACGAAGAGCGCAGGCGAGATGGCGGATCCATGTGGCAGTCCTGGGGCCAAAGTGCATGGTTCAGAGGTCCATGAGCCCAGCCGGAGAGCAACCCTACGTGAATACAGGACAGCTTCAACCCAATTCACCAGCCATGGATTGACCTCCTTCTCCCTCAGTGCAGTCATTAAGATGTCGTATCTCACTCTGTTATAAGCATCCTCGAGATCTAGTCTAACCCCATAGTTTCTTGTCTGTTCTGGAACCCTTCAAAGACGTCAAAAGTAAAAGTGGCCGCATTTGCCCAAGTGTCCTTTCCTGGCCTGTAACTTCCCAGACCTCTTAGGAGAAGCTTCCCCGTTTCCAAAAATTCTTGTAACTTTACAGCAACTATCTTCTCCAAGACCTTGCCAAATGAGTTTTGTAAGGTGGTGATTCTAAAGTCACTAAGCTTAGAATGATCTTTAAAAGGTTTAGGTAGTGGTATAAGATAGCTGTGCACCCAGTCTTGCGGTACTGATTCTGTCTTAATACTCTGGTTAAAACAGTCGGTCATCTCTGCCAGGTCTACATCTGTCAAAGCCTTCATGTGACCATACCTGACACCATCAAGTCCTAATGCAGTGTCTTTTGCTTTTTTTTTTCAAATTTGTTTGATATCTTCCACTTGTATCATGTCTTCAAGGTGCCAGCTAACTCCTTTCTAACTGCATCCCTGATGTCTACATCATTATGATCTGTCTGAGCTATAAACCTATTTAGAAAAGCCTCCCCTTCCTCCTTGTCTGTTGTCACACGCACACCATCGTCTCTACAAATTGTTCCGACTGTCATAGGCCGATTTTTTCTTTGCATCTGCCTTTGCAGTTTCCAGAATTTCCCCCAATGTTTTATCGCCTTCCATGTCATTCACAAAAGTATCCCACTTCGCTCTTTTGGCCTCTGCAGCACAGCGCTTGAAACCTCCAACTTATCTTTTTTCACATTCTCCGCCATCTCCACTTCCTCTAGTGAGCTTGCGGGTGTCTGTCGTACTTTCTTTAGCCGCTTCACTGCGGCTCTCTTTGCCTTCCACGCCTGTTCTACTTCTGGAGTCCACCATGGGGGCTGTAGAAAATTGGTTCTGGCAGTTCTTTTGCATGTTCCCTGTCTGAGGCGTCCAAGTAGGTTGTTGGTCCACTTATACTGGAAGGTCTTGCGTGCTCTCCCAACCTTAACCTTACTGAGTTTAGAAATCAAGACTGAACATGGTAGGTGATCACTCCCATGGTCATTCAGGACAGTCCATTTAACATCTAAAACCGACGACTGAGAGACAAATGTCAAGTCAATGGCTGTGTCTAGTCGGCCTCCCATCATTGATGCAGACCATATCGGAGTCATACATGGCCTCTGCAAGAGCAATTCCCTGTCGGTTTTCTCCACTGCTGTCCCATTCTCTGTTCCTCGAGTTGAAATCCCCACATATGAGTAACCTATCACCTGGTAACTCCTCCAGTTCCCTGAGCCAGCTCCATTATTCACTTCTGACAAAACAGTCTACCTTGGCATATATATTTATAAGGTTCCAACTTAAGCTACCAATTTCCACCTGTATCCCTTGAACCTCTCGTCCACTGTAGTTTCACTGGCTCAAGTCAAGCACCACATGCTTCACTCCCTCCTTTAGCACTAGACCTTGTCCATGTCTCTTCTTTCCAACAGGGTTTATATAACTGACGTACCCTGGGCAATGATAACTGTCTGTATTTAGCTCCTGGAGCATAATATCAAAATAAGAAATAAACCTCTCCAGTACAGGACCTCTCTGCCTAGCACTCCGCCAGTTTCAGTATCCTACTCTTACATGATTAAAGCTCAATCTCTTGGCTTTTCGTCTTGTTCTCCTAGCACCTGCCCTCCTATTTCTATGTCTTCTTCTCTCCTCATTCCCTCGTCGTCTCCTCCTCACTCCCTCTTCACTAACCGCTAAATAATGTGTCAAGCGCAGAGCACGTGCCCTGTAGCTCCAGCGACGATTCTTATGTATATTTTTAAAATCCATACGAAAAAATAGAGTACTGCAGGAAATGACCGGTCACCCTAGTATTGCCTGCCTGCTAGGGAAGGGGCAATGGATGTCCCGTAGGAGTCCATACGCCTGGTGCCGCCCCGCACGCCGGCCAGACGTCCAACGTTCACGACCAGCTTACCCGTGGCCATCCAGTTGATTTTAGTAGGAATTCCATCTCTGCCTGGGGCTTTCTCTGAAGCCAATTCATTAGTTGCATTCCCAACTTCTTCAACTGTTGGAAATGTGTCCAGATAGTCAAGAGTTGGTAGCGTCTTCATGGCATTGAGAGCATCATCTGCTAGTTTAGTATCAATTGAGTTAAGCACCAGTTAATGTTCCACCCCATCTTTCTAGATGCTTCTTTTTGTCATTGATAGTCTTCCCATTCAAATTTTGTAGTGGTGCACTTTAAAAAAAAATGTAGGATCGATGGCCTTCTTGATCCCCTCATACATGCCTCTAACATTAACACTACTGCTAGCATTTTGAATGCTTTCACATAACTGGATCCAGTATTTGTTGGCACATTGCCTAGTTACCTTTTGCAACTGATTTCTAGCTGCTCCTAATTCAATGAGAATGTTCCTTGTTGTTCTTTTCTTGTTTCTGAGGAGTATTGCCTTTTTGCTGTCAATTAAAGGTTGGAGTGTCAGGCTATTTGCTTCGAAACAGTCCTTACTTCTATTTTCTCGAATTCCATAGACTGATACAGCTGTTTTGTAAACAGTCTCCTTAATTTCATCTCATTTAAGGCTTGCTGTAGAGTTATCCTGGATATCAGTGAAAGCATCTTCAAGCTGTTGTTGAAACTCAAAACACTTTCAGAGCCTTTAATTTTGGAAACATTTAACCTATGGATATGTTTTTTTTTCTTTTTCTTAAGTGAAAATTCTTTAGCACCAACTAGGGAATGGTCAGATTCACAGTCAGCACTGTGGTAGCTGCGAGTTAGTGATACACAGTTCAAGTGCTGCCTCCTTGTGAGAATAAGATTCAGCTGGTGCCAGTGGCCAGATCTTGGATGTCTCCATGACACCTTATGGTGGTCTTTAGTTTTGATAAAGGAGTTTGTGGTGCACAAATCACTTCTAGTACAGAATTCCAGCAGTCTCTGCCCATTTTCATTAATGTGGCCAACCTTATATTTGCCAAGACAAAATGGTCATGAGTTTGAGTCTCACCCTACGCGAGTATTAAAATCACCAAGTGTATGGATACCGTCAGATTTAGAAATTGATTTCACTGCGTTATCTACTTCCTTATAAAAATAATCCTTTGCGTCCTCTGTTGACGTTAGAGTGGGTGAATATGCAGTAACAAGAGTAATAAAACCGCTTGATGTAGACAATTGTAGGGATAATATTCTGTCACTTCTTCCAGTTGGAGTCTCAACTGATCCTAAAAGTGAACTCTTTACTGCAAACCCCACTCCATACACCCGGATGTTTTTTTCTGGCTTCTGCCTCTCCAGAAAAATGTGTACTTGTTTTCTCTAATAGACCCATCCTCTGTCGGCCAGTAATATCTATGTCAAGTTTGTTGAGTTCGGCATCAATGATAGCCGTTTTTCTCACATTAATAATGTTTTCCAGGTCAGTGGAAAACTCTGGACACATGGTATTCACGTTCCAAGAGCCAAGTCAAAGCTTGGGTTTATGTTTCTTTTTTTTGCCTGGTGCACTGGTTTTAAAGCCTGCAGTTTGGATTTTGTCCTAGCTCCAAGCACCCATTGAAGCATATAAGCTGTGGCTGATCAACACCTTATTGGCTGGGGGCTGCCCAGCTTGAGACAGGCGATAATTGATCAGTGACATTCAAAGATGTCTCCCACTTTGAGAGGCAACCCGTGGCGCCCTCGTCTACGCCAACTGACAAGGACTTTTAACCCATAACTGCTGCCTCTCGATTTGTTTCCGAGACCGATTAAGGCCATGGATTAAGTTCCTTTTCTCCATAGCACAAAGTCTGGGCAGTATTGTAGAGACCATATGTTGCCCATGCATAATGATCCCTCACTCGACCTGCCTTGTTCACTCCAAAGAAAAGGTTAAATCAGTACGTTTGGAATGAGGCAGGTTGCAGAAGCTGACGGATCAGAAGGGCAGTGCTCTATCTGTCCGCCTGTCGGAACTTCCCTCCTAGACCAGCCGCCAGCCAAAGCGAATGGCCTGATCTGCCCTGCCATAACATAAGGTTTTCATGTTGCATTTCCTCTTCTTAGGATAAGGCTAGTATCGTTCCCAATGTGCTCCTCTGCCCGAAGCCGTTGGCACAATATGGGATGTTGGGTTAGTATACGCCGCCCAAAACTCTGTGTAACAGAAGACAGGTGATACCGGCTACTGTTATACAGTAGGTCAGTCATATCTGACCAAGACCTGACGAAAATACAAATAGAAAATATGACACACATAGGCAAAGCATTAGCAGCTTTAGCCTGAACAAAATATAGAACTCTAAATGGTATAGTTGTGAACCTATGCTAAGTGTATCATCCAAGCCACCAGAGCAGAGCGAGATTTAGAGAACCAGGGCACTTGGTCACTGACTGGTATCAGCGAGATGACAAAAGAAGAAGTTATTTATACTAAAATCAAATTTTTTTCTTTTCAAATTTGCTCATATCCCAGTAAAAGTTATCAAACTACTAAATATGGAACAGTTAAATGCAATCGAAAAAATGTTTGAGTGAAATGTAAACATAAAATGGAAATGAATTTAAAAGGTGTGAAAAAAAAAATAGGAATGTCTGAGCAATTATTAGTATCCCCAGTTATAAATCAGACTAGTTGGCACGATAACGGACACACTCTGAGAAGAATCCAGCAGAGAATTACCAAACAGGCATCAACATTGGAAATTAAGGGATTAAGGAGGCGAGGATGGTTAACTCTTTGAGTCCCAAGGAACGCATCATACGTTCATAGGTTCCTACCTAGAAGCCCAATGAACGCATGATGCGCCGATTTTATTACTTTCTTGACCACCCCCTGAGCCTGTGATGCTAAACCCCCTGGGACTCAAAGAGTTAAAGAAATCGCGAAACACACATTGATGAGAGAGGCCAAAGCTGCTGGACTGGATTCCATCCATGATATTAAACTGACTGCACTGATTGGAATGGAATGAAGGAACATACTGCGAGCCCTATGTGAGATATAATGGCACAACAGGAAAAGAATGACAATGATGATGATGATGATTTAATACGCTGACGTACATTAAACACTATTCAAGTTGTAAGCATGAAAAGATTAAACAAATCGTATATTCAGTTCTAAAATTAGAGTGAAATATATAGGAGACACTGGCAATTTATTGTTTCCATGATGCTAAACCTGCTAACAAGATCGCCTAATGAAAACCGCATATTCTCCAGGAACGAGACATTGCAGTAGCGCCCCTGACTATCACCGAAGACAGAGAAAGAGTGGTTGATTTTTCCAAACCCTTCATGAACACCGGCATCTCTATTATGATTAAAAAGCCGGATAAGACGAAACCTGGTGTATTTTCCTTCATGGATCCACTAGACAGTAGTGTCTGGTATTGTATTGCAATCGGATTCTTAGCTGTCAGCTTTGTTCTATATTTTGTCGGGCGCTTCAGGTATGTTTACGTACTCCTGTTTTTAAAAATATAGTATTTAAACTTAATCTTCAGTACAAGATTAGCAACTTGGTAATCTTCTATACATGCAAAAATTCAATTCAGATAATAACTATTTTGTAAACCAGTGAAGCATTTTTTAAAATCGTTTGCTGTATTCAATTATAAAACTATATAACTCTAAATTAAATTACAACAATTGTTATTGAATTATCGTTAAATGCTATTCTAATTTATAATATAATATTTTTTTATATTTCAGCCCCTATGAATGGAATGTTGTTGAGGATTCTAAAGAAAGAAGAGCAACGACCATATTCTCTATTTCCAACACACTCTGGTTTTCTCTAGGTGCTCTTATGCAGCAAGGATCTGATATATCCCCAAGGTTGGGCCCTGTCAATGACGAAATACTATGACTCTTCTTGTTCACGGATAAATTATGGATGGTTTATAAAATCAGTGATGATATACATTTTCTTTCACCTTAAGTAAAATATAGTTCTTATATTTTGATTTTGAGTATCTCGCTAGCTTTATATAACACTTTACCAGATACATTAAATATCCTAGATGAAGTAGTTTCCATTGTAGAAGACATTGTCACTACATATTTGATGTTATAATCATCTCTAAATAGCGTATGTACTCGAATACACTATTGCAGCTTTTTAAGATATAAACAAGAAGGTTATGGAACTTCGCACATCCTATTTGTGGCATATCATAATGCTTGCACAAATATTTATAATTAAACTGGAAACAAAAAGTTAGCTATGTGAAGACAGGTGATGGCAACAGCATTGGTTTCGGAATACTGAAGAAGGGTGACAAAGAGAAGAAGGAGAATGTGAAGTTGACAGTGCATTATATAAAATTGTGACAGAATGACAGTTAAAGTGACGAGGCTGCATGCCAGAAGTACGTGATCTCTTCGGACTCCAACACCCCGCCTTCTCTTTCCCCCTTTGTTTTAACTCTCTTAGACATGGAGGAACTACTTATTTCTTCATCATTTCTTCTTTCATCGCTGTGGGTGTCGTTGGAGATAAAAGATTCAGCTTTTTGGCTTATATGAGCCCATTAACCAGACACATCGTGCAATTATAGAGTTAATCTGATGTTATCTTTTCATCTTGTTCTTGGTATGACTTGTGCACAACGCCATTCGACTCTTTTTGGTGCATTCGTTGTATGGTATGGCGCCACAAGGCATTTTCTATAAGTGTGCAAACCATTTAATGTGTTGTTTTTGAAAGCAAGTTAGAATTGGTTCTATGTCGACTTTTTTTGTTTTGTGACCTCAATTCTGATTTTATCTCTTCTGGTCACTCATGCAGCACTTCCCAGACATATTTCCGCAGCCACTAATTTTTTTAATGATTTGTTGTAAGTGACAGACAGAACTACAAAAATTAGATTTCTAAAAGCATGCATCTTTCCCATTGCAATATGTGCCTGTGAGATCTGGACACTTACTAAACAAGCTGAACTGCACATGAATGCCTTTGAATACAAATGTTATAGATTGGTTCTAAGAATATCATGGGTAAAGTAAAGAAAAAATGCATCTATACTTCCAGAACTGAATATTAAGAAATGTGGCTTTTAAAGACGATAAAACACAGCAAATTAAAATATTTTGGTCACTTGAAACGTCACGAAAGTTTGGAGAGAACAATATTGGTGGAGTAAATGCCTGGGAAGAGAGGAAGAGGAAGGCCAAAGAGAACATGAGTGCAGAATGTGGCGGATGATCTGCAAATGGGTGTATCGTAAGCGGGACATTTTGCCTGTGATGGAGAAGTTTTCCTGAGGTTTGTTTTGGGAGCAAGGTTCTGCAAAGGACATGCAACTGATTGACAGATAGTGACCATGTCTGGCACTGGGAGCATAGGGTGGGAATGGACATGCTTTGTATGAATTATTTCCTTGTATACAATACGCTGTATTCTTTTATGTTGTAAGAAGGGAACTAGGAAACAGTATAAAGGGAACACGTTAGGAAAACATGAAAAAAGAGACGTAAGAGTTGTCGGTTTTTAGAGCCATGCCATTCACAAAAAATATACTCGATAATACAACAATGATTGCTGAAAATTAAAAATTTCATTGAGGAATAATGGGTGATACTACTTTTGGCTATCCTCTAAACAAACAAACAAAAACAAGAAAAGCTAAAGAGCGAACCGAACATGACGACTTTTGCGCCAGTGGTGCAAGTTTATTTTTTAAAGACTTTGGTACTGAAAGATTTGGTCAACGTCACGCCTAACCTCTCAGGACATTACTTTGTATGCATTTTAGGCTGGGTCCGATGGAAGAATAGTAATTGTTTTAAATGAATCCACCCCAAAGAGGATTCGAAATTCGAAACTAAGACAGTCGATCACCTTAACACTATGCTATCGCCATTCAATCAGTTTAACTGATCATACGACAAAGAAAAGAAGAAGCACACGTGTATCAAACACAATCTGACAAAGACCAAACTTCAATTATTCTCGTTAGTGTAAATGAAAATCCTCTAAAAGACGAATTATTTGCATTTTCGTTTAGATCTACTTCAAAAGGCCTTAAACGGAGATTACAGACATGGTCAACAGGATAGTAGAAAAAAATTATTTTTTTGTAAATCATTACCCGAGGTTAACAAACGTATTGTCTATTCCCTGTGAAAATACGCTCGCCTGTCTCCATATGTTGACAAATTCAACTATGAGTTAACGTTATTGACATTCGCTTCCGGGTCCGCGCAGTCTAGGATGTCTGCCAGAAAAAAAAAGATTGGTAATTTGGAGAATCGTATACTCACTAAACCCCGTGGCGTAAAAAGATAGTCTTTTGCTAACTTACTCTAAAACAGTGAATTTAATTTTTTTAAATATAAATATTTGTGCAGTATGATATGTCATGAAAATGTAGGATATTTTCAAGGGTTATTTGCATTTCTTTAATGCTTTACAAGTCAAGTTTGTTGTACACTAACCAATCTTGGGAATATAGCAGTTCTTGGATGCATTGCCAACAAGCAGAATTTCTCTCTAAACACGTTTCTAACAAATCAAGTTCTTCGGTTAGACTTTGCTCTGAATAGTGTTTTATATATATGTGTGTGTGTGTGTGTGTGTGTGTGTGTGTGTGTGTGTGTGTGTGTGTGTGTGTGCGCGTGTATATATATATATATATATATATATATATATATATATATATATATATATATATATATATATATATATATATATATATACACACACACAGAAAGGTATGTATTATGTGCGAAGCAAAATAAGCCCCTCTGGGCAGACCTTTGCAGATAATCAAAGATTTAATTGGAAAAAAATGTGTAGCATTCCCTGTTTACCATTATGCATTGTTGTCCAAACAATCTAATGATTTATTTCCAGTTAAATTACTATACCGATGTTGGTCTTGGCTGTTTTCTTTCTCCTTATCCCTGCTTCAAAGTTGCAGGTGGGATAGTGACCCTTTTCTTAAAAATTGTTTATCTATACCCATTTTTTTTTTTTTGTAAATAAGAATGTGATTATGCTTTTTCCAATTAAGTACAAGTACGAGTTATTATTGTTCGCTTATGTGTAATACTCGTCTCGTTTGTCAGAATGTCTACATCACCGCTGTACTTCTATTTTCTATCTGCTTGTTCATATTTTATCACCAATTTACCACATTGTTAAGCAAAAAGGGAAATGTGTGACTAGTAACAGACTACCTCCTCCCACCCCCCCCCCCCCTTCCCCCTTTCCATAACAACCTTTTCACACTTTTCCTTTTAACATAATCTATATTTAGCAATTTTTATTCTCCCCATTCTATTATGTTTTAGATCTGCCATAATCTGTTAACGATTATGAAGAATTCTCTAAGCAAACCATGCTCTACCCTTGCCCCTCACACCCCCATTCCCCTCCCCCAACTAGCCTAAAATATTCATGGCGATTTCCGGTTAAAATGGACGCTATACAGCGGCGCCGTTCGGAACAGCGGCCAATTTGTTGCTTCTGCCGGACGGTGGCCGATGCATTTTTGCTCCATTTGTAGACTGGATATAGTTTCGTCGCCCAGCTTCTGAGTTGAATGCATGGCGTGACCATGTGAGCTGCGGATTGCATTTGGAATGTTTTTTTTTTCGACTGTGACCAACGTGGTGGTGTGAATTGTAGATTCAGAAAATGCCTGTCGTTCAATGCTTGCGGGACCCGTATTAAAATTGATCACGCGGACAACTGCTGATCTGTTGACGACAAGTTCTGCTATCATCAATGATGAACTGCATTTCTAATGTTGGACTGTTTGTGTTAGCACTTCGGATGGCTACCATATGCTCTAATGCGAAAGTATGCTAGATATGCTGAGACAGCAGTCTGTAAATCTTTCCACAAGGGACTGTGATAGACATTCTGAGTGTTTTTCGCTGGCACAGGAGCGGAGCAAAGATGGGGCAACCCGTTTGCTATGAAGCTGAAACTAAGACTACCAGACAACCAGACTACCAGCCTAAAACAGTTTTAAAATTCACTGTTTATGTTGTTCGCGTGTCTAATTACTTCTTAGGGATCTTAGTAGGATTGTAACATCGACATCATCCTCATCATGCCCCTGCGGATAAGCGCAGGCAAACATTTATTGCCATCTCACACGATCACCAGATTCATACAGGTCAGGTCAGTGCTATGATCTTTCACCCCACCCCTATGACTGAATTATCTATGTAATTATCTCCTTGCTTTCGACTTGCTTCAGTCCTGTCAGTTGTAAACAAGTTATCATTCTTCACTTCCACGATATTCTGAGCATTTTTTTTTTCTTCAAAAATCACGTCTCCGCTGCAAATTACTTTTCTAATTTTTTGGCTTGCATGTTTATTGCTCTTATCTCAAGTGCAACACAGTTTCCAAAAAGTATTTTAATTCTCTTTTTCTCAATAAAATTCAGATTTTTATTGGCTCCTTTTGCATCTTGTTAAAGGCCAATTTTTCCACGGTAATTGTTGTTCTAATCTTTGCTAGGATTCTGTGTCAGATAATAAGACTTTCAAATTTCATAGTTATTATCTGTCTCCCCCCTCCCTTCCCCTTTTCCATAATAACATCAGGAATCCTTTCTGATGTTTCATATCATAATTGCCCACCCCTCGTAGAAAGTTCAAGGTCATCAGTTTTTGATGACAGCCGGCGTTCCAAAGAGCTTTTGCAGCTGGCGACTTTATATATATTTATTCTTAAATATGTTTGAAAATGTTATCATTGAATAAGTTAACACACCTGGTCGTTGGGGTATATTGGAAAATAGAACTTAGATTTTTAAAAATCATTGTTTCGACACTTTAAGTAAACTCATGTTTGCAGTCCGTGTATTATTCATAGTGTATTATTCATCGTGACTTCTTATGCAGAAATGTACTCTGTGCTGCTATAATGCACACATAGTACAAGCACTAATATAGCATGTCTATTATACCAGTTCCCGTATTTACTGCAACGTGATTTTTGGCAGAGGAATCTGTATTTCTCATGATCTGCTAAAGTTTATTACATAATCATTGCTTTAGAAATTAGCAATAACTAAGCAAGTCACGAGCATGATCTAATGCATGCAATATCAGTTTTACAAACTCCAAACGCAAACTGCCATAGTTCTTTAGAACGTTTTGCGAAGTCAACAGCAAAAACAAGTTTTTACTCGACTGACTGCGAAGTCACTGTGGCAGAATCTGAAATGAGGAAACTGAAATAGTTCTTTCAGAAGGAGCTCAGCTCGATTGAATAGAACCATTATTTAAAAAAAAAAAAACAACAACAACACAACACGTTAAGTTCAGCCAACAACCAGACAATTATTAGTACTGTGCTTTGGAAATAAACACCACTGTGTTTCGATGTGCGACTGAACACGAGAGGTTCAAGAATTGCACGGACTGACAACTCTCTCGTTACTAATTAAAACATAAGTATGTGTTAACAGACAAAACACACATTCAAACATATTCTTCAAATTATGCATTGTTAACTACATTCTGAACACAGATCCAGAGATGTGGAAATCACCTCTGTAGCTTTTGACAACCTTAAAGAGCTTTCGAACATCAACATAAATAGAAAGGAAACTCTCATTGGATTTTTTTTAGAACATTAATGGATGGCGAGAACAAGAACAACCCTAACAGCATCAGAAAAGGAAATAGATAAGAGCTTACGACAATGAACAATGAATGAATGAAGTATCTGCACACGAATAAAAACAAGAGGTTACAGAGGATACAAAGGGAAAAAAAAGAAAGAAAGATGTTCTGGTTGCGGCAGCAGCAGCAGTGACAGTAGTAGTTTGAGTAGAAATAGTTGTAGTAGTAGTAGTAGTTGTTGTTGTTATTGTTGTTATCGTCGTAGTAGTAGTAGTAGTAGTAGTAGTAGTAGTAGTAGTAGTAGTAGTAGTAGTAGCAGCAGCAGCAGTTGTTGTTTATTTTGAGGTTTATCCGTATTAGAAGACTAATCAGTTTTAATAATACAAATATAATATTTAATTTGTTTAATGAGTTATGAACATATATATATATATATATATATATATATATATATATATATATATATATATATATTTCAGGCTACAATATTGTTGTTATGTTCCATTATACTGATCTATTGTTTTCTTCTGAAATCACTATCACAGATCCTTCTCAGGCCGTGTCATCGGATCTGCCTGGTGGTTTTTTACTCTAATTATAATATCTTCTTACACTGCTAATCTTGCTGCTTTTCTCACCATTGAGAAGCTGGTGGTCACGATTGAATCGGCAGATGATCTTGTTGGAAACCCGACCATTAAATACGGTACCAAAAAAACAGGGACATCATGGAAGTTTTTTGAGGTAAATAGTTTCCGGCATAGTTACAAAATGTGTGTTAGTGTAAATTATTTAATACCTTTAATTAGACATATATAACGAGAGCCATGATTTTGTATTGGCTGGCATGATTACATCTTTGCCTAATGTTCACGTTTTCGAATCTTTTCAGAGAGGATGATACTTTAGACCGGGCAATAGCTCGTACGGCTATGGCCCTGTCCCTAGAACATTTTTAGGGCACTTAGTAACCCACCGCCCCCCCCCTCCCCAACCCACTAATTCTAGTTCTTTTTTTAAGTATTTGTTGATACATATCTTGAATTATTTAATAATATCATTTTGCGGTGACACTAGGATTGAGACTCCAATAATGTTCTAGTTAATGCGCCTGAAAGGGCTCAAACCGTGTTTAATAAAAATTATTATTACTAATGTTGTCTCTGTGGCAGCAACCCTGAGCATGGCAGGCATTACTCATTAACTGACGATTAGTAAGCAAAATATGAGACTAATATCATATAGCAAGTACACTTACATGACTTACATGACATTACTAACATATAACTATGCAAGTCTCAGCAGCTTAGCAATCTGTGCATCTTCTACTTTCTTACACATATATGTTGGTCATTTCTAAGCCAAATATATTACCAGTTTGGGCACCGATGTTTCCTCAAACCTTTTGATTCTATGTTTACATATAAAAATTGCTACTTATTAAAAACAGTCTGCAGTTTAAAGAAAGACGAAAAAAAAAACTTTAAACAAGTCGAGAGACCAAGAATGAAATTTTCCGTAGTAAAACTTAAAGGTTAGCCAGTTTGCCTTCCACTTAGAAGAATTATAATTAACTCGAAAATAGCAGCAACAAAAATGGTTGGGCAAGCTGAATGCTAAGAAATGTTCGACTAACAAAAGACATAAAAAAGTCATAAAAAATTAAGAAACTGAGATGGTACAAGAGGACAGATACTTATTCACAGACATTTGCACTAAAGAATATGTCAAAGAGAAATACACTACGGTATGCCTCACCAGACAACAAAACACCCAATAAGTTTATCAAAAAGCTTAAACTCTCTTTACATTAGGTAAGTCGTTTTTAGAGGTACAGGCGTAGAAGCAGCTTACCGCCAGTTGATACACATTGTCAAGGCACTACATGTAGATGGCTTGGCAATGTGGACTCAAGCTGAACATATAGGAACAACCAAACCAAGAATTCAAGAAGCTATAACTACAGTTAGGAAATGAACATACTCTTGGGGAGACACAATAAACCAGACCAAAACCGTCTTCACTCTTTTATCTCTTTTGACAAAGCTAGAAGAAATTGATCTGTACATAGAAGGCAACATCCTTCCAAAAGTGGACAATGCAACATATTTGGAAGACGTTCGACGAAGGACTAAACTGGAGCAACCACACTAAAGACACCCAAAGGAAAGAGACCGGCTTAGACTTGTGAAGAAACCTACTGGAACAAGCTGCGGTGCAGATGCCATCACAGTACGACAAGTATACACAGTAAACATTAACCAAAACTGGAGTATGGCATGCAAGTATACTCCACTGCCGCCAGATCAAATGTAAACAAACTGGACAGTTTACAGAACAATGGTCTTTGAGTTATCACTTGAGATATAAGAAGCATACCAGTCAATAGGCAGGAGGCAACTCCTGGCCTTTGAAGCTTAGGCCATCGAAGGAAAGAAGGGATGCTTATCTTACCTGAAAAATGTGAATAACAACCCATGCACAGAATTTCAAACAACATACCTAAAAGCAGACTGAAAAATCAAAGCTTTTACTATCTATCACAATTGTTCTGCGAAAAAAAAAAAGCAAAACAACAACAACAACACATTCTTTCTAAAGACCATACAACATGGGAAGGATCCAAGCATACAACATAGATCTACAGCCTAGCTATACAGTTACAACACGGATCCCAGGCACAGACAGAAAGGCTTAAGAATGTGAACTAGTACTGCATGTCTTGAACATGTCTACAACGCTTACCCAAAGCCCCAAAGCACACACGTATGCACTGATTGATCATTGGAGAGAGAGTATGAAGGGGGTGTGGACCGGAGGTGCTGGTTAAGTTATCATGCTTCATGGCAGGAACATTGTGTCTCAACCAAACTCTCAACAAACTCTAGAGCAGAGCAGCAAGCAATTTTTGACGCAACTAAAGTGCTTGAGAAAACAAATTACAAACAGCAAAGATGTTTTCCTGTGTAATTGCATGTCAGTCCTCCGGGCTGCTCAAAGGGACCCTGGAGGCAACATGGAGAAAGAACTGACCTGCCAGCTAAAGAGACTAACAAAAATATAAACAAATCGTTCTCAAGTGGATTCCACCTCACTGCGGCATCCCAGGATATGAGTTAGGATACTTGCAAAGAAAAAAAAAATGGAACAATGGAGAAACAACATACCCTTTTATTGTCACTATCAGAAATTAAAACAATTGTTCAAGGGATTGTGGAGAGAACAAACCAACAGTAAACATCCACAAGACCCCATCAGCAGACTCAACAGAAAGTATTATACAGCTGTGTACCGTTTAAGAACAGGACACTGCAGGCTCAAATACAGTATGCGTAAATAAAGACTGTACAGTCCCCACAGTGTTCAGATCTACCCACTCTGCGTACATCTTTGAAAATAAATTTAGAGAACCATAAAGGAGGTGCAGCTAACACGCGTGTTCATAGAGGCAACCCATCTGATGGTCTGACCTGAGCATTTACAAAACTGATGGCAAGGAAGAAGAAAATGATGCAAAATACAAGTCAGACACAAGAAATATAAAACTTCATGATAAAAGTCTTGAATAAGTAACCTATCCTGCAAGAGTAGCAGTCAGTTTGAGTTCGGATGACTGCTGACAGCAAGTTAAACCGTATTTGGAACAAATCACGCACAAAAACTAAATCTGAAATTACACGAATAGGAAAAATTACAACATTTATATCATCTCGTTCGGGTTTGGTTTTCAGATCGAAAATTTAAACCAAGAATAACATCTGTCGATAGGTTAAAAAAAAAATTCACCTTTCAAACAATTACAATTATCTAAATTTAATGAATGCCACAGCTAGAGAAAGCATTATAAAAATTAAAGAAAATCATGAAGCAATTTAAAAAAAAAAAAAATTAGAAGGTAGATAGGAACAAAAAATATTACGAAATTAGGATTACATACAGGTGAGCTACAAATAAACATACTCAAGCGCGACGTCGCGCGCGCGCACGCACACGCACACACAAACACACATACAAATAAAATTTTCGTTAGTATCCTTGGAGTATTAAACAGACACACACACAAAAAAATAGAGGAAAACAAGCTAGAAAGCTGCTTGATTTTGCCTACACGAATGTCCAGGAAATGATAAATGAGGCAAAATCCTTGCTGGACTTTGTAGATGTTTATTTAGACAGAAATGTGTTCTATGGGTGCAGACTTATTTCTATGAGAAAATTACCACACTTCTGCCAGTGTAATAAGCGACAGGCTGTATTGGCTGTTAGCGTACTTTGGATAGTGTAGGTGTGTTGGGAATCGAACAGACAGATACACTTGGTACTGCACCACCGGGTATTAAACTGATACATGGAAAGCTATATGTTGTGAGTGTTCTCTGGGAGAGATTGAAATGTATTGATATCACCAATCGATGAAGAAAATGGTACAGCGGAGAGTGACCAGTTGGATCTGGCCGCCAGAAATGTCCCATGTGTTACTATGTCGGTTCCTTAACTCAACTCTCTATTGGGGGGAGAAGGGGGAAAAAAAAGGGGGGGGGGGAGGTGGCTTTAAAACTTACTTAAAGCTGAACAATTAGATGATGTCTGAAAGTGGTGCAGTTACATACCCAAAAAAGGGGGGATGGGGGGGGGGGGGAGCGCGGCCGTAGAAAAATCATCAAAATCGACTACTACGTAAAGAATAGGATAAGCTTAAAAGTTTAGTGTTGAGCTAAGGACTGACATCACAATATCCCAAACATTTCCATAAGCGCTTCATCCTCATCTTCGGCCGCCAGTGAAGATTATAATTGTAATGTGCCAGATGCAGTTTAATTATATGTCCGTCTGGCTTTTTCCTCTGAGTGTAGAGTGTCGACCAAATCCCTTGGTCACTCTTATGTGGGAAGCAAGCGTTAATTTATCATGCCATTGCGATAGGTACCTGTCTGAACTATAAGGAACATGGTGTAGTTCCCAATGATGTATAAATAATACACTATACACAAGAAGCAATAGGCGGTGCACAAGTATCAATAAACCTATTAATTCTATTTCCAGAAATCCACAATTGAAACATTTGTGAGGATGAAGAAAGAGATGCTAGAAAACGCTGACGAAGTTCTGTTTACGGATTATCACCAGGGTGTTAAAAAGGTCATTTATCACTAATGATATTGTCATCAACTGTCAACTCATTAATCAATAAAATAACATCATTCACACTTAACTACAACTAAATAATTATTTTATGTTGCACTCTGTACAAGTTAGTCGGGTCCGCTTCAAATCACCGCCAGCTGTAAATGAAGCGGGTATCTCGGATTACAAACCGTGTTTAAAACGCCTAAGCCAGAGACGTTGACTTATCTTTTTCTCTGGTATTTTAACCCACGTCTGTACATTTCATTACTTAATAGGTTAGTTGCGTATCCTTTACAGGATGTTGCAGAACCAACCCCAACAGCTTCTGGCTGGTGTGTGGTTTTCTAGGCAAATATACGTTCAGTAGTTTGCCATTGCTCTCTGGGCGGTCGGCTTTCTTGATACCACTGTTAAAACCAAAGCACGGCGCATAGCCCGCAGCTGAGATCGAACCCGGCATCCCGGTATTACGAAGCGTTCGCATCGACCTAGTCACAGAGCCAACATATTTCATTACTTACTTTCTTGAAATTATAGGATTTTTTTTTTTGGGGGGGGGGGGGGGGGGGCAACAGCACCCCATCCCATCTCTATTTTTAGAAAATTTACGAAAAATCCACTGGACAGAGCTGAAGAAATATCAACTTCCCGGATATATATTTGAAGTATATGTGTCAAGTGTAGGTAGAGACAAAAGTTATTATGAAATAATTATCAAAAAAAAAAAAAAAAAAAGCTTATGGGTAGATGTGTACAAAGACAAAAAGAAAAAAGAAAACAGTTAAAAGAAAACAGTGTGCCCACTAAAGAATATTTTTAACTAAGATGAAACATTGATGTCGAGATCAATCAGTAAATGTATCCTGCCATACAGACTTATGGGCAGCAATGAGAGACTCATATAGTGTTTCTAATGTCGTGCCCTCATACTTCAAACAGTATCTATAAGAACCGCAGTACGGACCAACACGAATTATTGCATTTGGACTTAGATTTCCCGTGTCCATATGAATTTATTTTTTACAGTTGTACAGGTTCTGCTGTTTTCTCAGCGCTGCGAGTTTCTTTGATCGTTTTATGATTGATAATTTGTTTATCCCTAAAAATAAAATATGAAGTTATTGACAATTGCGTAGAGGTTGATGAAAAATCAAATCACACGTGCATCGATGCCTGATGATTATTTTGATAGTCTGTCCAGCAATTAATAAAAAGTCAATAATAATGCTGAAGGTGACCATCTGTGACTGCACCTCCTATGAAATGTGTGCAAAATGATGTTTTGAAAAGTAGCCGTTACTTAGTTAACTATAAGCAAGTTAACTGTTTGCTTTAACTCGTCGTCGGTGTTTTTATATGCTGTAAATTAGGCAAAATGAAAACCATAAGCTTATTTAAAATATTTAAAAGACAAGTATTACGAGAACAAAATTATCAACAAGTTGCATGCTAAATTTCTACAACTGACACCGACAGGTTATTGAGTTACAGTTTTTTAGAGTTAGGCAAGACTTGTCGAACGGAATGTAGTGGCACAAAGCGAATACAGACAATAGAATGGTGAATGGGAAGCTACAAGGTTATCAGGGTGGTCACTATTGTATTCATTTGAAACAATAAACAGTAAAGGACGCTTTCGCACACATTCAGGAGTATTGGGCTAGAACGATATTTTATAGACCAAAAGGCAGTCAGCACCCTGCCGTTTTTATAGTCCTTGTTTGGTTGGTTTCTTTACAGATATTAGTGTCCTCCGTGTTTTGTTTTTAGGTATTTTCACTTTTGTTATCCAAGCTTGTGCAAATGCTTTTAAAAAGTGTGTTCTAGATCTATATCTAAATCTATAATGTACACAGTATCTGAGCGGCTGTCATTGACTCTTTAGGTCAGGGAGTCGAAAGGTACATACGCCTTTTTGCTTGAGTCAGCAATGAATATTTACTATGGACAGCAAGAACCTTGCGACACGATGATGGTTGGAGATACTTTAGACACTAAAGGTTATGGTGTCGCCACTTATCTCAACTACCCTCTGAGGTTAGTGTTTGTTATGATATTTTTTTCAGTCACTCTCAGACGCTATGGCTACAACGTCACAGTATAACGTTTCAATGAATTATATAGCCTAATTGTGTCTTTTCTTATGGTTTTCATAATTTGTCGTTTAGCACCCAAAATTTTGATTCCCGATGCACTTTTTTTTTTTTTTTGGTTGCTATAATATTCTCAACATTATTTTTAAACAACACACATCTACTGTCTCAGTCCTCTAACCATCTCATCACTTAAAATCTACAGTTTGCTCATGTACACATGGTAATGACAGCTCTAAATTAGGCAGCCTAAATACATAAGATGTTTTTGTGGTGGAACATATTTCATCCAAAGCTTAAAATAATTATTTTAAACAGCAATTTTTTTTCTTTACCCCTTTCCTGTATCTCATTGTCCTTGTCGCAGTGCAATGGCTAGTATTCTCTAATGATTTTCACAACTAATTCTTACATGGGCCTTGTGCCTCTGGCATGTTTAACTAAGTCGGACAGGTTTAAGAATAAGGGTCAGACAGAAGTAGTAACCTGGTCCTGCAGGTGGGACTGGGCAAGAGAATAATAACCCAAAACTGTGGGGGTGGGGTAGGAACACCTTGTCTAAAAAACAAAGACAGGATCCACTGAAAATATTTCACCTACAGAAAGAAGCGACAGAGCCTACGGTAACAACTAAAGGGCTAGGAGTAAAACAAAATGCTCATGGCATGCTAGCGGTGTCAAAGGGGCATGGCTGAGGTAGCTTGTGTATATTTGCAGAATTCTTGATGACACTTTGACAGTTAAAAATATGTTTGAGAGTAGATGGAAAAGGAAGAAGTGGACGATCTAAGGAAAGCCGGAGGACGGTAAAAAGGGAAACACGTACCTGACATGGGATACTTTTGCCACAAACACAGCAGACTGGCTCCAGTGGGTTGTAAAAATGTGTTATGTGTCAATAACGAGATTCGATTGAAATTCTTGCCCTTACAATAGGTAAAGTTTTTTGGATATTGAATTGCCTAATAAACTAATATACATAGACTTTTTTTAACGTTTCACCCGCCCCCATGTCTAGTATGATATGTATAGATTACTAGCAGCACCTGCCACGCGTTGCTGCGGCTGTGGCTCAGTCTAGCGAAATGGAAAAGAAAGAAAACATAAAGCGCACGTCTCTAGAATTGTCAATATCACAATCATTGTATGTGGAGATCTAGACATTTTCTGGCTTGCCGACTCTAAAACACGCAACACAAAAGTGTGTCTTTATATTAGTGGTGGTTTAAATTGTATAATTGTGATTTAAAAATAATTGGTTATGTGTTTATCACATGCGTGAAGTAGGCCTACGACATTTTTTCTTTTCTATATCCACACTTCCAGAGAGCCAGGATCATTTTGTTTTTCTAGCTGCGTTTTCATTGTCAAGTTTCAGCACTTTACAACAGTGTTGAGCATAATAACATTTTACCATTCTAATTTTTCTAGTGTTGTTTATATCTCTAGCTATCAATAATTTGCACATATTTTTTTCAGCCATTCCTTATCTCTTTTTTGATTCCTGTTTAACTTCTGCCATTATCTGTTACTACGTTTCCACGATAGTAAAAATGTGTTACATGTTTTAATGTCTATCCATTTACTGTAATGTTTACTGTAATGATCGCTCTTGTCCATTGTTAAATTCCATTTTTTTGGGGGGGGGGGGGGGGGGGATTAATGTCTAAACCCAACTCGGAACTCTTCCTGCTGACTTGCCCCACTAGATCATGTAACTCCTGCTCATCTCTGCCAGTAACACTGTGTCATCAGCATTTTTCAGATTGTTTAATGATCTTCCATTAATATTCAGTCAACGCAATACTTCAACTTGTTTGAAAACTTTGTTTGGTTTGTATATATAAGATAAAACCGCTTGAGAATAATAACACACATTTTTTAACACACCTTTTTAAAATCTCTGTCTGTAGTAAGACAGTGAGACGATGTTGTTGTGTCTAACTGTTGCCATTTCTTCCCAGTAAAGGTTACTAATTTTTTTTTTTTTTTGGGGGGGGGGGGGGGTGGATTCTTATGATATCTTGTTGGCATGCAATAAGTTTTTAATGTTGCACCCAGTCAAAGGCCTTCTTGTAATCTATTAAACATGCACATACACTTTTCTAGACTTCTATATATTTAAGAAGGTAGGCTGAACTTGGAAGCATAAGTCCTAGTGTTGATCAAATGGCCACATAGGATAACATTTGTCATTCATGCAGTAGTTTCTGTGTGATTCTAGTACACTAGCACCAGAAGGCAGACTGGCAGTCTAACAATGTAACTAGGCAATAACAGCAATGTACAACAGCAGGTTGTAAAACAGTCAAGCGGCTATTATAACTTTAAATGTTAACACGCTCTGTTCATTCGTTTCGGAAAAACCTTACAGCATCTAGCTTATCATGTATCAATTCACCTCCAAGTGGAGTAGAAACAGCCAGTCTACTTTTTCAGTTTGTCTCGCAAAACACCGACACCGCATTGAGAAAATACCCAAAGGGTCGTAACTACCCCAGGCCTGCAACTATTTGACACCGTAAAAAAATTAAACTTTGTACACCAGATTGACCAGTAAAAATCCAATATTACACATATTTTATGTGGCTCAGACAAATTTACAAATCAGAAGTCGCTCAGGAGCGTCTGTTTTGTAAATATCTGCACACTATGATCAACAATCATTTCTATTTACCTCTTACATATATTAACAACTGATTAGTTCTACATGAGATAAACAAAACAAAAAACAGAACAAAAACACTTTCTGCGAAACATCACGATAACTGCTGTAAACTACTATTTAACAAGGGATCCAAATGCTGTATTTCATCAATAAGCTCATGTAAATTAGATTAAAATCAGATTTGCTCAGCATGTGTTACACCTACTCATAACCTGTACACAGAATACTGACTGGGACACTATGCACAAGAATGTATTTCCTACCTTTGAGCTGATGTGTCATATTATAACAGTAAATACATAATTGATGTTTTTATCATAGGCACAATATCAATATTGCAGTCTTGACGATGAAGGAGAAAGGTGAACTAATCAAACTAAAACAGAAGTGGTGGTTTGATAAAGGACAGTGTGGAGACCAAAGCGCTAGCAAGGTATAAGTATATAAGCTTTCTTAAAATTAGGCTGTTTTAGTAATGTTTTCTTGAGTAAAATGCAGTAACACTGACTATATTATTCATAGAGTACTCAGTGCAGCCAAACAAGTTATTAAGTCACACAAGGCATGTTTCATGAACCATTATGTGAATGATGTAACCTCACCTCATACATCTACGATCGATTATATATAATGGTTCTTTCTTCTTCTTCTTATTCTCTGTTTTCTTCTTCTTCTTCTTCTTCTTCTTCTTCTTCTTCTTCTTCTTCTTCTTCTTCTTCTTCTTCTTCTTCTTCTTCTTCTTCTTCTTCTTCTTCTTCTTCTTCTTCTTCTTCTTCTTCTTCTTCTTCTTCTTCTTCTTCTTCTTCTTCTTCTTCTTATTATTATTATTATTATTATTATTATTATTATTCTTCTTCTTCTTCTTCTTCTTCTTCTTTATTTCAGAGGTAACCATATTGGCGTCGAGGGAGATATAAGGTTCTGCTTCTTGCTGTTCTGGCTGCCTCGATCATAGACATATCGGCCTGTATAATTATACTATTTTTAACAAGTGTTGACAAGAGTGCCCATTGTTTCATTCTTTTTCCATGACGAATTTTCATTTTATATAAATATATTTTCGCCTACACGCTTTTATGTTATAACTATACACTTAAAATATATAGAAAAGCCACTTTCGCAGCCTCTGTGGCTAAGGCGTTGCGAGTTTGACTCGTAATCCAACGTACCGCGATCGAAACCTGGGCTGCGTGGATTTTTATCGGGGTATGGGACGTCGCAGGTCGACCCAGCCTCAAATGGGTACCAGGTTGGGCCGTCCTGGGAAAGTGAAGACGGCCGGCGTAATGCTGACCTCATTACCGAGTGCCGATTGGTCTGTAAGGGCGTGTGAAGGGATCTTTACTTTTTTTACTTTTTACAGCCACTCTTTTCCTTGTAAAATGTCTATAATAGTTTACAAAGGCATATTGTTGACTCACTTATCTCATGTTTCTTGCGATGACATTTATCTGAGTGTTTACATTAGGCTAGTGTATCTAGTCTCTAGAAACTGAATCACATAGACAAGTGACTGTCCACATTATAAAGAAACAATCTACTTTTTTTTTGGTTTTGGTTATGTCATGAAACGGAGAAAACTTCTGTGCATGATGGCGGTGGGAAAGTTGGAAGGGAAACAAGTCAGAGGGAGGCCCAGAGAGAATTCCATTGACGGTTTGACATCATGGCATGGAAGATCTTCTATGTCAGAATTGACTAAAAGTACACGAGACAATGTTGTGCATAGACAAGACTATCAACGCCAAACAGCAAGGGATTGTGAGAGGAGGCGTTTTATCTTGAAGCTTTTTCAGAGAACAGAGGTCCCGGGTAGGTAGCATCCTTTGGATATTTTCTCCAGGTCATGCCAGTGTGTAAGGAAATGAGCAGGCACTATGTAAATCATTCGCTTGCTGGTGAAGATGGGTACTGAGCACTTATGGGAGTGTCCCGAGTGGTGTGTTGTCGATTCTTAAATCAAAATTCAACACTGAACATTTAGAAAACATTTATTTGCTGCACGATGTGTTCACTCTTGATTTGTCATGAAGAAGCACATAAAACTCACAAGGTTAACCCAAAGCGCTTAGTCTCGTCTAGAACACAATGCGGATTCTGATTGATTATCACGGGAACAAGGTAGATAGCTAGTCACTGACCTCATCGTTACCATCGTTTTTCGGTGACGTATTCCACACTTGTTTACTGTAACAAATGTAATCCAGACATTTTAGATAGGCATGTGTGTGTGTGTGTGTGTGTGTGTGTGTGTGTGTGTGTGTGTTTGTGTGTGAGTGAGGGTTTCAACATAAGGAAAAAAGCAAGAGTAAGAGAGTGCTTTCACAATAGAGAGATAAGATAAATCAGGAAAACACCGAAGAAATATGAAAAAACTGTCACAAACTAACAATTGAATATCTAGGATCTATAATAAACACCAAGATGGAGATTGTTCAACAGAAATTAAAAGGAGGATGGCCTTGGAAAATTAAAGATTGAACAGCCTTAAAAGTCTATGATTAAGCACCAGCAAGGAGATAAGAATTATAATTTTGAGAGCATGCATCTTCCCTGTGGCTACATACGGATGTGAGTCGTGGACTATCTCTCAGTCCTTAAGAAAGAGAATAGGGGCTTTTGATCTGAAATGCTATGGAAAGATTCTTAGAATATCTTGGACAGAGAAGAGGATAAATATTGACATCTTAAAAGAACATCAAGGAAGATTGGCTAATAAACAGCATCCTTTCTCGGAAGCTGAAATATTTTAGTCATATCAAGCGCCACAACGGATTGGAAAAAATTATAGCAGAAGGCATGGTACCAGGAAGGAGAGGCAGGGGCTGACCGACACGAAGATGGGCACAGGATATAAGTGACTCCTTGAGTATGAAAGTATATGAGGCAGGAGAACTGGCGAGAGACCGAGTTTCTTTCAGGCAGACTGTGATGAGAGCGACGTTCTGCAAAGGACCTGCTACATAATGAGTTGTTTGTCGTTTTTTTCTTAAGTCGGCTGTCGTTACCACTGTCGAAATCAACGCAAGGCGGTCTGCTTCCAAATAGCCAACAGCTGGGGTCGAACCCGGCACCCAGAATTATGGATTCGCGGTAAGCCATGGACATACAATGTAGCTGAGAACATAGAGAGCATATACTGAACAAATCATAAAGCAGCTAAAGAAATATGACCGAAGTTTACTGGTTTCATATTTGAGCTGAGGTTAGTTTATTCAAGAATAGACATCACAGCACTCGGGGTATTCCTATAAACGCTGCGTCCTCGTCTTCAGCAGCCGCGCAGGGTTCCAGTACAAATGATGCCAGAAGCATCTGATTATATGTTAGTTCTGCCTTTCCTCTGAGCGTCAAGTATCGGCCAGATCGCCTCGTCAGTCCTCGCTGCATCACTCTCACAAGAAAGTGAGATATGATGATAAATGGGTTATTCCAACTGAACACGTGCTGACATGAGGCCTGTACCACGTTTGCCTTATATTCTTCTTTTTCTTCTTCTTGTCGTGTGGCTTTGGTAGTCATACTATCCCCAACCTTCAGTCTCATGAACTTTCAGTCAGCTCTGAAACAGATTATTTTCTATACCATGATGCCAGACTGTCCAGCACCTGTTTTCTCGGTCTCCCTCCGCCTCTCCTCCACTTTAACTTTCTCACCGTCACGATGCATTCCAATTTTCTGTACTCCAGTTTTCTCCTTCTCATCACATAATCAAAGAATGTAGATTTATCTCTTTCTGACTTTGGCAATCAGTTTTCTTAGCTAGTCAGTTTCTTTCAAAACGTCTTTTGTACTTTTTTTTTCTTTAATCAGTCCAGAGTATTCTCATCATTCGTCTAGGAAACCGCATCTCCGAAGCTTTCAAAAAAGTTTTCACTCATTTACTAACTGTCCATTATTTACATCCGCATATCAATATAGGATTTATATAAATTTAAGAATTATATTTCTCGTCTTAATTGACAAAGAAAGATTGCATAAAATATTCTTCATTTTGTAAAATGCTGCCTTCGCTTGAACTACTTGACATTTACATTCCTTAATACACTAATCAATATCATGAATCAATATTCCACCAAGCTGTACACAGCCAGTCAATATGCCTGCTTGTTGATTTCCCTGTGCACCGGCATGATCCGGAGAAAACATCCAAAATTCTACAGCATAGACCTCCAGTGCGTATCACGCCACTCTGCACGAAGCATTTATGTCCGCGCCTTCATCAGAATGCTTTTTGACTCAGTAATAATCACGATTTGTTTGTGTGTCGTTTTTTTTTTTCTAGCCAGCAGAAAGCTGCAGTGACCGCCTCCACCTCCAATCTTGAGCTGAATGTTGTGGTATTCCCCTAACCAGGGAATGACCTTCTTCGACATCAGCGCGACCTTTAAATTATCATATCTAACTCTGTTATACGCCTCCTGCAGATCAAGCAACCGCTCCCATCGTTTCCTTTTTGTTATTCATACACAATGGCAAAAGTGGCTGCATTTGAAGAGATATCTTCTGTAACTTCCCATAACTCTTGGAAGAAGCTTTCACGTGTCCAAAACTTCTTGCAGCTTTACAACGACAATCTTCTCTAATACCTTCCCAAAATGTATTTTGTAAGGGGATGCCTTTGAAGCTATTGAGCTTTACATTATCCGGGCAGGGTTTTGACTGTGGGAATAGATAGCTTTGCACGCAATCCTGTTATACTGATGTTCACCTAATGCTGTGGTTAAAGCATCGGTTATATCCCCCTGGTCCACATCGCTTAATGCCATATCTAATCCCCGTGGGCCCTGGTGCAGTGTCTTGTGCCCTTTTTTTGTGTGCATAATCTGTTAAATATCTTAATTTCGAAGTAAGTCTTTATAATGCATATTGTTTATGGTACCGGATAAATTTTCTCCAACTACATCCCTGATGTGGGCATCATTATGATCTGCCTGCGCTAGAAATCTCTGAAGAAACACTTTCCGTTTATCTGTCTGTTGTCACGCGTACTCTATCGTTTCTTTAAATTGTTCCTACTGTCATATGCCGATCTTTTCTTTGCATTTGTATTTGCAGTTTCCAGAACTGTCACCTCCAATCTCATTCATGAAATTTTCCCAGTTTGCCTTTTTGGGCTTAGAAGCACAGCGCTTGAAAATAACCACTTTATCATCTTAAACATTTCACACCGTCTCGAATGTCTCTGTCTAGCTTAGGGTGTCTGTAGTACTTTAGTTAGATGCTATATTCATCTGTTAACAAACGTGGATTCTCTGAGATGTTTCTTATAGTATACTCTTTATCCTATCCAAAATCTTGAAGTCCGGTATTCTTGTTTGCGTATTTCTCCTTTCTGATAAATGCTTTCTTGAGATTTCTGATTACTTTGACAGGACCTTGTAGCACTAATTCATGAATTTCGTCTCCCATATGATTTCTTCTTGGCTTCAG